CATAGTTATAAAAGCTTCAGTGAATGCAGTAGGCAGGAATAATTGGAGTCGTTTGAGTGTATATAAAATGTCACAGATGAATTATACTTTAAGTTCTGATGTTAGGACCAGTGAGAGTGTGGCACAGTACTTATAAGCTACAAAAGCAAAATTTGACAGCTGACGAGGAAGCACTGAGATCTGGGATGAGCCCTATAGTGTGCCTCTTTTTTACTTCTTTCTTCACTGGCTTTCTATCTCTGGGCTGTGCAACTTTGAAGAGCTTACTCATCCCATCATTCTAAGGCAAGGCATAAAGTCATTTTTGACATTTATGAAAGAAATTTGCTTACAAATACTCTCTATTTGATATCTCTAAAATCTAAGGGACACAGTTAAATTAATGTCACTAAAAGAGCTGGGGAAAATAAAATTTCTGCATGATGTTATTGCTTCAGCCTCTCAGTGGATCCTGACATAATGGTATCTGTAGCCTATCCTGACATCTTGGGAAGTCATTTCTGGACTCATAGTCTACACATTTGTGGGCTCTCTCTTGGATACCACAAAAAATCCCAGCCAAATAGTGCCATGTTGATGGTTTAAACAAATGATTTCAGTGGATCTCATTGCCAAGATTAGAGATCTTAATTTGAAAAACATAGCAGCCTCTTTTTTCATTCATGATCATTTTATTGAGGGGATAATATGAGCTTAATGTTGTGCCTTATTTAGGAAACACGGGGATGAACAAGACAAAGCAGGGTCCCTTTATGGAGTGTGTGTGTTTAGTTCTATAGGATGCCACTGGAGTGGATTTGGTTAGCAGAGCAGCAGGTGGTAAGGCTTCAGCATCCAACACACCCGGATTAGAAACCCCACTCTGCCACATTCTAGCTTTGAGATTATGAACATGTCATTTGAACTTTCTGAAATCCAGTTTCCTCAAGTATAAAATGGGGATAATAGAACCTGGAATAAAACCAACCTCATGGGGTTGTGAACAGTAGTAATGACCCACTGCAGGCCCAGAAATAATATTGGTTATTCTTGCCTCTTCCCTAATTATGTTTGCCTTTGAAATGACTGAAAAATTATACTGGACTACACTCGAAATGATGGCCTAAAATCACAAATAAACCAAATTGAGAAGATAGTCTGCATCATAAGAAATTAATAAGATAAAAACATGTGCTTACCAAGCATTTAGCTCAAAATTAATTATACTGTTCTAAAGACATATACAAAGAGGAGTGGGTTGGTTGGTTGGCTGGTTGGTTTTTAAGTATGATTTTCTTGCACATGTGCCATCAGAAATCTATGGGTTGAACACGTGTACTGGGCAAAAACTATACACTTTGGATGGCTCTGAGAAAGGCCACCATTTGTCTGAAGGAAAATTATGGGAAACCAAAAATCACCCATATGTGTATGAAGCATTTCTAGTTTCTGCTTTGCCTTCTGTGTCTAAGGTTATTGACAAAAGAGCAAGAAAAGCCTTTTCTGGATGAGAAAAGATCTACACTTTGGGTAAAATTTACCAAATACCGGCATCGTGTATTTATTCTTCAGTGTTTTATGTTTGCATCCTTTTGTATCTTTACTAACTGAGAACAACTCTGATTTATAAGGCGTTTGATAATCTTCCTGAAGTATCCTTTGTGGCTGAAAGCTTTTGGCGGGGGTCTGGAAAGCAGGGCCAGTATGAATATTTGGGAAAGGTTGCCTTCTTTTGTCAACTGAGTTCTTATGACAATGAGATTACCCTGTGCGAGGAAGGCTCCTCTTTTTTTCTGACTTCTTGCTGAGAAACTGCTCTCAAATCCACTTAGGAACTGATCCTACTATAATAAGATCTAAGGGAAGAGAATATAATCTTGAAGAAAGATACAGAAGCGGAAGGGAAGACAGTGCAGGAAAAGAAAAAACAGGAGGAAGGGCAAATTATTTGGTCATTTCTTATATGCAAGAATAATGTGAATATAGTACAGAACTCTCTGCCTTTATCAGATTCACTACAGCTCTATTATCTTCACATTTTTGGGTGTCATAATGTTATGGTCAACACCTTTGTTGGAGAGTGTCATCAAATACACTGGTCACGTAAAGGATGCCATGTGGAGAATGTTTCTCTGCCAATCTTGTAACAGAGGGCAGATGTCAGATCCCTTCAAAATAGCCTTTAGAGAGTACATGAGAAATGTTAAATACGATATCATATAACATGTTATCTATCCTAGTTAGCCATGAAAAATTCTGTAGGACTCTAAACCTCCCCTGTGAATCAAATGGGTAAATACAAATTAACATTTATATATTCAGTTACCACTGGTGAATTATTACTTCAGAGTAGCCAAGGGATTGGGAAGCCTAATGATAAGGAAAGGAGGTCTAATTAGACTTGCTGGGGGTCTCTCTAGAAGATTCTTCTATGCATAGGATGCCTTTAATATTCAAATCAAGTTCTCAGTTATATAAACTGTATTCAGCAGGGAAATGTTAAAGATACACAGCCTGGTTTTCAATTAGAAGAAACAAGCAATTAATGGTGAAATAGAAAATCAAAACAATACTTCCTGTGTGACTTTGTGAGATAAACCTACCTCATAAAATGCACAGACATTGAACTTCCAACCCACAGATGGCTGTGAATTAAAGAATGGCACTGCAAGAGGGTAGCAAACAGATGTTTAACATCTTTTTCGTGTTTATTGAGGAAAGTGGTCTGATAATCTAGTCACATATATTGAGTTTCTATTATGTACAGAGCACTAAACTGGGCTCGGATCAATACCAAAGTTGATAAAGCAATTAGAAACAAATATCTAACTACACTCTTTACAGACTACCATTAAGCTTAAATGTAGCAGTAAATGTTCGTTCCAAGCTTTTCTTAAATTTACCTGTAACATGTTACTTACTGTTTTCATTTTTATGAATTCTATATAAATATGGAGGAATCATCTGGTTTTTAATTTCAAAATAAAAGGAGACAACTAAAAAGATGGGAAAGAACAGCCATGAAAACAGACCCTGTAATTGTTCTAAATTGATGGCATAAAACCAAATTACTTAAAGGGATGTTTTTAAATACAAATCCCCAGATCCCATAGATGTTCCCGTCAGAATCTACAGGGATGGGATCTGGGTATATGCATTTGAAAAGACTGAATCTCAGTTTTTAAAAATAATCATCAAATGATATTACGTAATGTAGGTGCACTAGGAATTTGTCATTTCTATGCAATAGGAAAAAGTGAATTTATAAAATCCTTACATAACATACTTTTTCTCTTTAGCAGGTCATGGCATCTGAGCCTTCAGCACCAGACTACTGGATATCTACCTAATAGATTATTTCTCTGTCTGAAAATAGTAGACATTGTCACAGCCAATGCATTCTTCAGTGTGGAACTTTCTAGCAACCACATGTTAACTCAAGTTGAAAGGTGCTAAACACAGATGTTGTACATCCTGTACTCCTTTGGGGATGTAAAGAATCTTCCCCCCTCTGTCCTTATCTTGTTGAGATGTGCTAGGTACCTTTGAGTAAAAGACTTCCCTTTATGAAGACTCAGTGTCATAAATAAATGGTGTGGGTGGGTGGGTAGTGTACATCTGTAATGACCTGAAACAGTGCTTCTTAAAGTGTGAGTCTCAGACCACCTTTACTAGAAGCCATCAGGAGCTTCTTAAAAATTTAAATTTCTAGACCTGACCCCAGATGTACTGGGTCAGAATCCCCAGGGGCAAGGCCAAAGAATCTAAATTTTAAATCAGCTACTCAGGTAGCTGCATACTGAAATTTCCAAAACACTAGATAAGGTGCTCTCTGAGGTCCCTTCAAGCCCAAATTTTTATATAAGTCAGTCATCATTACAGAACAGACTGATAACCTTCTAATTTCGATCTGATGCTCTGATTTCTGAAAAATCCCGCTTTTCTTTTTCTGTTCTATTTTAACCTGCATGTTTAATTAATTCACAGTTCTCAGCATGAATTAACACGTGGCTGCTAGAAAGTTGCAAACTGGAGATTCTGTTGGCTGTAACCTTGTCTACTATTGCTAAAAAGGAAAATGATCAAATATTTCCTGACTTTTTAAAAAAGATATACATTAAATAAAGTATGGTAGAGAAAACACTGTCTTCTGAAATGACCTTTCCAAATAGTCTTTATATTTTTAACTACAAAGTGAACCATATGCAATATAATCACTTGCACATATTCAGTAAAAAAGCAGGGTTAAGCCAAATCTTGTTACCACCAAGAATATTTGTACTATACGTAAGATGTTTTCAATAGAAGGATTGAGACATTTTTTATTTGGCTTATAAAAGGAAATGGCTCCGTTCTCTAAAGGAACACAGAGAAAAGCTGATATATCTCCAGAAATAGTCATTACAGCTCGTATATTTTAAGAGTGAAACTCGTTATCTGCTGTTGATTCTTTAAGAAACTTGCCATGGTTGTGAATAACCTGGGTGCTTCTAAGCTACAAAATAGACACCTTAGATAGTTTGATACAGATTTATCCCTTCACCTAAAAAACTCTGATTTCCAAAGGATGTCTGTGGCTTCTCTGTTACTCAATGCTCCAGAATCCTTTGTTAGGGGACATGGTACTTTCGTCTATAATCCTTAGTCCCTGGGAAAGGGAACGCAGTGGGTTCCATTTGGACTAACATGGAAGTGACTGAAAAAGTTCCTCCTGTGTTGAGTTTTCTCGCGGAGGAGAAGTAGTGAGGTAAGAAGGGCACCCTGAGCAATAAATGGTGCTCCATTGGGTTGGAGGTGGGCATCATAAAATTTTAAGAAGGTTCAAACAGGCAACCTTTTTATTCATTTCCTGCAACCCACCCTCTTACCTGCTAATCACACAGGATCAATAATTCTTTGCTTTCTCACTGTTCCTAATGCCCACATGAGAAAAAGAAATTCACTTCCCCCCGCCACTCCCAATGTAACAGAAAATATGCACACACCAAGAAAGGAAACTTCACTCTAGCATGAGAATATTATACCAGTTGAGATAAATTTATTGAGATTTTGATAGACATAGCCATGACTTCATCATGACAAGTCATGAGTGTCATGAAAATTTCAAAAGTAGTGTATGACAAGTAGGAGGTCGAGTTTCCAAAAACGTCCCAGAGAACATCAGCCAGGGCAGGCAGCTTGAGGAAGCATCTCCTTTTTCATTTTCCTCCCCTGGGACTGGAGGTAAGTTGGAAGGCAGTGTCTCTGAGGTTGATGAGCAAATGAGGACTGAAGAAGTGGATACAGGGGGAACCTGGAGATGTGCTGCTCAGCCTTCAGGGGAGAGAAGATTCTACGCCTCGGGGATTTCAGCCAATCAGTAGAGATCAAATGGCCAGTATCTCCTGTAGCCAAAAGCCCCACAGCCATTGTAGCCATAGCCAAAGCCATAGCCCACTGGGGAGTAGGTGCTGCCATAGCCACAGCCAACACTATATCCCAGTGGGTAGCCATAGGTGCCCCAGTAGCATCCTGGGAAGACAGCCTCGGAGAAGTTGTTGCAGTGCATGGTGTCGGGAGTGGAGGGCTTAGGTAGCAGAGGAGTGCGTTTCCTCAGTGGGATGGATTCCTGGTCTCGGAACCTTCTTTATATATCCTGGCTCTGGTGGGTGGTGAAAAACACAAAGCCCTCATTTTCATTCTTGACACCAATTTACATTCTTAAAAGCTCATTAACTTGTTTTGCTCTTGCTTATGATGTCTTTACAGTGGCTTAAGAAAGCTCTCATGTGATACAATGCAGCAAGAACATGACTTTAAACAAATTATTTCCCTTCCTAAAAAAAAATCATTGCCAGGACTTCAAAGCACTCTGTCTTATAGACCCTATATAACTCTCTGCAAGCAGGCATATAATATCAAGGAATATTCTGAGGTTGTTAACTGTTATGCAGTCCTCTTGCTCTCTGAATTCCCACAACACACAATTGGAATTTGATAAATAAGTGTTAAATACATTAATAAATAAAATAACAAATGGATAGTGAGTCTATCTCAAAATTCTCAAAATTAAAGCATGTCTTAGTATTCACATGCTTCAAGGATTCTCTTCTTTGGAATATGGAAGACAAGTACAATAAGACTCATGAGAAAGAGTCTTTCTTTTTTCTCTCTGTCTCTATCTACAGCTACAGTGTTTGGGAAACTGGTTAAAAATGTAATCTTAATCATAGTCCCCTCCTAAACTATACCTAACATCACATTTCTAGAAGAATGCTCGAATTAATAGTATTGAGCTTTTAAAATGGAATATTTGGATTAATCCTTGTACTGAATTGTCAAACAAATTTGATTTTTTGACCTGAAACATGCTTTAAACTAAATGTTGAAACTAATAAGGTAAATACAGAAAAATGAATTTAAAAATTTATGGTAAGATTTAGAATGTTTTTTTCTCTTAGATCTAATGAAACCAGATTGTCTGACAAATGTGATGATATTATAAAGGACCAGATGACAATATGAAATCAGTTATTTCACTTTTAGAATGATCGTGTACCCCAGGATAAAAAAGGAACGTTATGCCTCTCTAAACAGAGAGTTAGTTCTCAAACGTGAGTTAAAGGAGGGATAAGGCTGATCAAAACTATCTTGGATCATGTAAGACCTGATATATTATTCCCAGACACCTGTGTTAAGATTTCTTACAGTGGCACTTAGTAGAGAACTTACAGAACAAATACCCAAAGAGGGCACATGGAACAGAAATAGGCACAGAGGTAATAGGAATCATTCTAGAAGGCCACAAAACAGATATGTATTACACATGAGCTCCCCCAGATTTTAATTCATAACCCAGAGGTAACTTTGCTCCCTGCTATCAGCGGCTAGGGATCAGAGGCTAAATCCAAGAACAAGACGAGACTCTTGGAAAATTCAAAACCATGCCAGTGTACTAGCCAGATTAATTAAATTAATTAATTAAATCTAATTAATGAAAAATAGATTACAGCAGAGGCATTTTTAAATATATATATACACATATATGTAATTTTTTCTGAAGTGGAGTCTTGCTCTATCACCCAGGTTGGAGTGCAGTGGTGCAATCTTGACTCACTGCAACCTCCGCCTCCTTGTTTCAAGCAAGTCTCCTGCCTCGGCCTCCCAAAGAGCTGGGATTACAGGCGTGGGCCACTGCACCTGGCCTCAATTTTTTTATTTTTAATTTTTGTGGGTGCATGGTAGGTTTATATATTTGTGGAGTACGTGAGATGTTTTGATACAGATATGCAATGTGTAATAATCACATTCTGGAGAATGAAAACAGCTATACTACCCTGCTTCGTGAGCAAACCTGGATGCCTGCCTATGGGGATTCAGCAATTAAAATTAAAACACGACACGTGGCTTATAGCTAAACAAGTTCAGGGAATTGAAATTAGATTTATTCCCAAAACATAAAGGTATTCAACCACAGATCATTCCCTAAAAATCATAGAATGATTTACATTCTGTTTCTACTGGCATCACATTGCTATATTTCATGATAGAAAAGCTGATGTTAGGGGGAAAAAATTTAGACGAAAGATAGCATTGTTTAACGGAAAATTTAAAATTTTTGAATAAATATTGCCAAAGGTCAATTATGATGCTCTATTTAAATGAATTTTCCCATTTGCCTACCCAATCTGACAAGATGCTAGTTTTGCCTTCTGCAGCACAAAACCTAGCTCTGTACGTGAATAGTAATTAAAATATGTTGTCTTTTTTAAAACTTAAGCCCTATTTACAGAGAACAGCTTGGATTTTCTCTAGAAAGTCTACAGAAAATTCTAACAAAAGAAAATTTTGGGAGACATGTCATTTATCAACAAGTCATTTAAAAATTAATAGCGAATTTAATCCTATATTGAGCCTATGAAAGCTTTATTCTGATAATAGGCTTATCAAAGAAAGAGTCAGGATTTCATAAAGCTTGGAAGTACACATTTTTGAAAGCCCATTTGTTAAAAAGTATACAATGTAACAAATATAAAATTAAGTACAAAAGTAAATATTTGTTGAGATGCTTTAAAAAATCACCAAAAAAAAAAAAAACTAACAAAACTTACAAATAATACAAAATTCAGAGAAAAAATATTATTTGTATTATGAATTGCCTGGCACACTACTATAATAGTTTTCTTTCCCACAGGCTAGCTTCTGGCTCCATCATTTCAAACTGTTTTCCCCTCCACTACTCATCCTGTGCTGTATGCCACGGGAAAAACTCAGGCTAAGATAGGGCCTCTGGTCCTGCATTTTCACATCACACATTCTGGGTAGATCAGCAGAGTGGTCGAAGAATTCCTGGGAGCCATTCCCACATAAGAATGGCTAGAAGTAGCTTAATTAGATACAGAAGTGGCTGCAAAACACATAAATATATCCCACCATGCCCAAACTGAACATATCACTGACTCAGCTTCTCCTTAACCAGATCCTAAAAATATCCATGGCCTCTCTAATGCCATCCAACATGCGGGGAAATGTGATTGTGAAGCAGCCCAGTAGAAAGCAGCAGCATTTCAAACCAATTGCTGTTAAAATATCCTTTTGTAAATTTTCCCCCTAAATAAGCTATGTAACTTGAAGGTTTACAAAAGAGAAAAATATATTTTCACATGTTAAATGGCACAGTAATAAGCTAATCATTGTTAGATATTTATTGGCTTGGATAAAATTCATGACCCTCTTTTAATAACAATCCTAAAATGCTGTTTAATAAATAATTTGACTTTATCTTTCATATTTCTTTGATTTCAAATAAGACCTGACATAAAGATAAGAAAAAATTCTGCTTTTTGACTTTCTACAAGGGAGCAGGAAATATATTGTGTACAAATTTCAGAAACAGAGTCAATTACAATGTGCACAGTAAAAATATCCCTGTCATATTGGCTTCAAATATAACATTTACACCTTCAGCATATTAACATTTATTAGAAATGAAAGCTAAATTAGAATGGAATGTTTTTGTTTGTTTGTTTTTTGTTTTTGTTTGGGGGTTTGTTTTTGTTTTTGATTATTTTATTTTGTGACAGGGTCTCTCTCTGTCACCCAGGCTGAGTATGTGGCATGATCCTGATTCACTGAAACCTCTGCTTCTCAGGCTTATGCGATAGAATGGGATGTTTTAAATGAGTTTTAGAATATATATCAGTGATATATACAATACAAAATTATCTTCCATACAGTACAAAAATTATCTTCCATTCATCTTTTTAAACATCTATTCTTACAGACATTTATTGAGCATGTATTATGTTCCAGACATTGTATAGGTGCTGGAGATCCAAAGATGAATGAGAAATGGTAATTAAATGAGGAATTATAAATAAATGAAATACCTGTTATATGTTCTACCCTAGAAGTCCCTTGTAGAGGCTTCCCCTTGTAGACTTGGGAATAAAGGACACAGTGGATGATTCTACCTGAAGTAGGGGCTACTTGCAGGAATGTTTCAGCATGAAGGGGATAGATACATAAACTGGGTCTTGAAAAGGGATATTTTACTGGTAGACATTGGCTAGAGTATATTTGGATCTAGGAAATATTCCAGAAAGAGAAAGTAATTTAAAGCAGAGTTTCAAAGATGTTAAATAGCCAAATGTCTTCCAGGAGCCACAAATTATTCAGAGGGATCATAGCCTTGGATATGAGAGAATAATTAATGGAAGGTGGTGCCAGGAAGGTAGTCAGGGGGCACCTGTGACTGTATGTGTTGTGGAAGCAAAGGAGCCACTTTATACACTAAGATGGGAGTGACATGATCAATTTTACACCTTAGAAATATCACTACTCTGAGACTGTGGAGGATGAATTAGAATAAAGAAACCCCAGAGGTAGAAAGACCTGTTTAAAACTTTATTAGGAATGCTTGTGGCTGCAAGTAACAAAAATCCCATTTGAAAGTTGATTAAACAGAAAGAATTTATTTTTCACAAATAATAGGAAATGAGAACATAAGTAATTCCAGGGTTGCTTCAGGCCTTGACAGTGTCAGTCTTCAGGGCTGGCTTCATGGTGATTCCCTCAGCAGGTGCATACTTCACATTCTTTTTTTTTTTTTTTTTTTGAGACGGAGTCTGGCTCTGTCTCCCAGGCTGGAGTGCAGTGGCCGGATCTCAGCTCACTGCAAGCTCTGCCTCCCGGGTTCACGCCATTCTCCTGCCTCAGCCTCCCGAGTGGCTGGGACTACAGGCGCCCGCCACCTCGCCCGGCTAGTTTTTTCGTATTTTGTAGTAGAGACGAGGTTTCACCGTGTTAGCCAGGATGGTCTCGATCTCCTGACCTCGTGATCCACCTGTCTCGGCCTCCCAAAGTGCTGGGATTACAGGCTTGAGCCACCGCGCCCGGCCATACTTCACATTCTTACACATCAACATCCAAAACCAGGAAAGGAAAGAGGGCTTCTTCTCAACGATTCCTCTTCATTTTGTTTCAGGAGGAATATGTTTCACATTTGTCTTCCCATGGATTTCCTTTGGGGCCCATTGTCCAAAACTGAGTCACATCTCATGGCTGAGTTATAGGGAAAGGTGGAAAAGTGTGCATCTGGCATTTCTGCCTTAATGGTGTGAAGCAGGCTC